AAACCAGAATTTTATTGCAGATTCGGGGTCCTCTCGCCGAGCACAGTAGGACCCCGCCTTCAAAAAAAAAATAAAAAAAATTCTGGGCTGTTTTCTTTGCCCGCCCGGTTTGCCCGGGCGACCCACCCGGCCCCGGCCGGGCGGCGTCCGTACTCAGATAAAAATTAATTTTCAAAATAAATTTTTATTTTAAATTTGGTGAGAATTTCGATTTGACCCTGAGGCAAAAGTTTTTCAGTTTTGTTTCTTGCACAACATAGATTTTTAAGGGAAAATTTTCGAAATGCCCCTGAAGTGTTCGTTTATTTGCGATTTGCCCCTCCGACGGCCGACTTACCCTGATTTGCCCCTGGGGCCTCTGAACTTTCGAAAAGGCCCCTGTCAGCAAGGGGCACAACTTTTCGGAATGCCCCTACCGCTAGGCCGGTCCCATTTCCCGTGGTGGCTGTCCATTTTGCCCTTCTGCATTGGATGCATCTTCCTGGGATGCCCTCCAGCGGGGAGGCCCTCAGAGTTCGAATTCAAACTCCTTGATTTTCCGGGCCTCCGCGCAAAAAAACAGGGTTCCACTCCACGTTGTGTCCACTGCTTCAATTCACTGCGGAGTTCATTCTTCTGGTACTGCGACCTGCCGCCACCTTCGACGTCCTCGGAGAACGTTGCCGAAGGTGAGTGTTCCTCCCCTTCTTCCACACCTCTGTGTGTGTGTGTGTGTGTGTGTGTGTGTGTGTGTGTGTGTGTGTGTGTGTGTGTGTGTGTGTAAGATGTGGAGGTAGGAGGGTAATGTACAGCTGTGAACATACCATTATAGATGGTAGGAGTTGGCTTGACGTAGCATGGAAATCTAGCACTGGTACCCATCGGCTCTCCAGTAGGGGCATACTGGAAATTGGCACTGGTACCGGTAGGGGCATATTGAACATATTTCAGGCCCAATTGACGCCAGGGGTTTTTTGGAAACTTGAATCGTTGTCGGAGGGGCAAATCAGGGTAAGTCGGCCGTCGGAGGGGCAAATCGCAAATAAATGCAAACTTCAGGGGCATTTCAAAAATTTTCCCAAATTTTAAACTTTTTTTCGGAATTTTTGGACTTCTTTTTTTTTTGCTGGGACCTTCCCGGTCCTTGCACGGCTGGGCTGCCCGGGAAAACGGGGTGTCGCGGGCGGCCCGGCTGGTAGCCTAGGTTTTAGACCAAAAAGACACGGCAACAGAGTTAAAAAGCCAGAAACAGGCAGACCCAGGATTAGAGGACAGGTTTAAAGGCTCTAAAAGGCAGGAGCAGTGGAGCACACACAAGCCTAGACAGCATACATTCCTGAAGGAAGGACACCCCAAAGCTATGGGGTTTTAACGGCATCAGACGACATCAACAGTCCCAGTTTGCTCTAGACACACATGCAAAATTGACAGCCATACTGCTGAGAGGAGCAATTAGTGATGAAATAGGAATACAAAGCTCTACTCAATACTGCAAACACACACCTATGACTAGCTACAATAGGCTAACTTAGGCAGGGGTGAGGGGTGGTACATTTTTCCTACTGGAAGTAATCAATGTCATCCACCAGGGCCTCTCAACCATAATGGGGAGGAGCGTGGGGTGAGACAACTTTGTACTACTCATTGATGACTTGCTGGGGGAATAGGAA